TGCCTGGAAAATGTGCCAACATGGCAAATATTTAAATAATTTTTGCTAAATTTGCAAGGCTTTAACATTTTTTAGAAGTCACAAAAATCCATTTAATATCTTTTCTAAAAATTCTACAAAATAGACTTTTAACAACATAACTCAGAAGAGAAAACCAGAGTACTCATTTTTATGTTTTCAAAAAGCTGGTGGCACAATACCCAGTAGTTAGAGCATGGGATTAGGAATCAAAGCTCCTAAGATCATAGAACACTAGAATTGGAAGGGACCTTGAGAGGTCATGAAGTCCAGTTCCCTGCCCTCATGGCAGGACCCAGTACCATCTAGACCATCCCTGATAGATGTCTGTCTAACCTGCTCTTAAATATCTCCAGAGATGGAGATTCCACAACCTCCCTAGGCAACTTATTCCAGTGTTCAACCACCCTGACAGTTAGGAAGTTTTTCCTAATGTCCATTCTAAACCTCTCTTGCTGCAGTTTACACCCATTGCTTCTTGTCCTATCCTCAGAGGCCAAGGAGAACAAATTTTCTTCCTCCGTCTTGTGACACCCTTTTAGATACCTGGAAACCGCTATCATGTCCGTCTCCCCTCAGTCTTCTCCTTTCCAAACTAAACAAGCCCAACTCTTTCAGTCTTCCTTCCTACGTGCTAGTCCTGATTTTGTCATTGACACATTAACCATGGGAGCAAGTCACTTCAACAGTGAGGCTGACAGACTTGCCAAGCTCCCGGGCAAAATGGAGAGGGGGACAGTTCTGTGCCCTGGAAGGGGGGAGGGGCTCAAGTGGAAGAGGTGGGGTTGGGGCTAACCTCCCACAGGCAGTCCTCAGCACTGGCAGAGATTGAAAGGGTCCAGGGTGCTGGTTGTTGCTGCTGCTGCAGCACCCAGGAGTTCCAGGCCCTTTGAAATCATGGGGCCTCCAGGGAAGATGCCTCTTGGTCCCTGCGTCATCAAGTCTGCACTTGAACATTTTGTTACTGTTTCCATAACAGTCAAATGAATATTTATTCTTCTCTAACATCGCAAGGCTTACCCATCTAACGTCTGTATCTTGGGATCCCTCATGTGAAAGGTGCTATGGTAGTAGTGACAAATATTTTCTGAAAATTCTTAGTCTCATGCATCATTTCTTTCATCCCATCGGTCATACTGATAAACACATTGCATAAAGGCTTTTCATCTCCCTAATGTCCTAATCAAGGAGGTTTATAAATGTGATATCACAGTTTTATACAATTGAGGAAACATTACCCTGGACCAGAGGTTGTGGGGAGTCCCCATTTGTCTATAAGTCATCCTCTTCTTCATTATATAGTATTCCCCTTCAAGGAATATTCTGGAGATTAGTTATGCACTTCAAAGAGTATACAACTGTGTTTGAGAATGCTCACACTGGCACGCAGATTGGTCACTAGGAAGTATTTCAGAAAGAGTCACAGTTTAAGGCCAGACCTACATATCACTGGCCACAAACACCAACTAGCATCTATACACCAAATACAACATCCAAAGCATTATTGTCCACAGAACACTAAACTATTATATGCCTCAGACACAGAACAGAAGGGATTTTTGTGAAGCCCTTGCAATGGCAGGGAACTTAAATATACCTAGAGAATTCTGATGGAACAACCTTTGACCTTTGTTGCAGAGAAAGACAAAAACCAGTCTGACCTGAGGGAAAATTCCTTCCAACCTTCTTCTCTCAGACTATGCATATACATCTTTGCAATCACTCTTTACCAATCAATCACTCCCGCATTGTTCCTGTACTTGATACGGTTGTGCGTACTATACCTCTGATAAGAATAGTGAGCACATTGCTACCCATCCAAATCAGCTGCTACTGAATTAACTTACGACACTGATACCATGAAATCACCATAAAGACACTGAAAAATGTGGAACAAAACTGTAGGTAGACATGGTTGGTGCCCAGTACTTCAATGTCTTCATACTCTATACAACCTAGCAGAGATACTGACTAATGCGCTCACTCCTCTTCATGATCACCTTCTCTTTCTACTGATAACAGTTTAACATCATTGTGGCAACTACAGCAATTGGTTTAGTGGAAAACTAATATAATGGAAGTATTGTTAGTAACATGTGGTACAATGAGTGTTTTGCCCTTTCTGAAGAAAGTCAGTCAAGCAGTCTACAGTGTCTTCTTTTCATCTCTCCCTGTTTCTCTTGGCTGGCAAGAAGGTGAACCAGTTGTACATGACCAGTCAGCTCTCCAGAGACCATTTAAAAAGTCCAATATTATTAAGACGACTTACATTATATATGTAGGATCAACTAAGTTGGGGATAAAACATATGGATCAGTAGCCCTGGGGGGGAAGAAGGGGATGGTCTAACACACTGTAGGAAAAACCCCCCCTGCCATAGTGTTTGATAAATTATTTTATAACTTTCTTTGAATATACAAAATGAAAGACATACAAAGAATATAAATATATGTATCAAAGAATCAGGGTGAAAGAGAAAAGTATCCTGAATTTAGTTGGGTAAG